TTAACCCAAGGACTCTGGCCAGACGCCCTCCATCCTAGGCATTCATTCAAGCTCTCCACGCTCCTGCCAGAGCTGGCCCCCAGTCCCTCCCACCCACACCAGAGGCGCCTTTCCCAACAGCAGACCGGGTCCTCACACCCTCCACCACCTGCAGGGTCAAGGTCAGGCTCTTCAGCGGCTCTTCTGATATGGCCTTGCTCCCCGCCCCCAGTCCTTGGGTGCCCGGGTGTGAGCTCGCTGGTTTTGCCTTCTGTCTGCACCTGGAAAGCTCTCCAGGTGGCCTGCTGGGGACTCCCACTCACCCTTCAGGAGGGCCAGCTTGCTGCCTCCTGGGCCTGCCCTTACCCCACAGAGGACTGGCTGATCCTCTCCCAGGGGCGGGCTGGCCCTCTGGTTGCTGTGGGCAGTGCTAAGGACACAGGTGCTGGGTACTGGTGTCTAGGGGAGCAGTCTCCCAGCACTGAGAGCTTAATGCCTGGATTCTGTTCAGGGTAGGTACTCAGGAAATGCAGAGTGTTTTTTTAGTTAATTTAAAAAATGAATGAATGTCAGTATCAGTTTGCATTTTGCTCCTTTCATGAAGCATAAATGTTTCTTGAAATTTCTGTCATTTTATCCCATCTGATTTTCATTTTTGAACTGTAGATCAGAAAATTTAAACACTATAGACAAGAAATTAAGTGTGATCCTGCTGCCCAGACAGGCCCACTGTTCACTGAGTTATTTTCTTTAGTCCTTTCATGTAAGCATTTTGTAAACAGTTGGCACACCAGTGAAAACACGATTTGGGGTTCTATCCCCACCCACATGACATATCTAAAGCATTTTTGTTTGAATTCATCTTCTTAACCACAACTAGCTAAGTCTGTATAATGGTTTATAGCTAATAACGACTTAGGCATGTGTGTGTGGGCATGTGTGTGTGCGCACATCTTAAAAATAACTGATTTGCTCTTCCCCACTTGGACATTGACCTAGCCTTTGCTTTTTCCGGACAACCTTCTTCATGCAGCTTTTCCCGTTTCCTGGGCTTGGGGGCTGAGCATCTGAAGTCTCACCTGCTGTGGAGTCACACCTGCCCACAGGGCTCAGGGAGGAAGCCACACGTGTGCATGGCCCCGGGATGAGGAGCTGGCCCTGGAAGCCTCCTGTTCACTGTCCCTCCTGGTGCCTGCGTCCTTTGCCCTTCTGAGACTGTGAGTGCCTTAAAGGACCAGGAATGCATCTTACTCATAGCTTGGAGCCTTGCTGAGCGCTCGTGGCTGGTGCCTGGCAGGGCACATGTGCTGTCTCACACGGTGACTTACGTGCAGGCAGGGCCTGTCCACAGTCTCCCGGACTCCCATGCAGCGTCCCTTTGCCTGGGACCCTGTGCTCCGGCCTGTGCTCGCCTTGCCCAACCCTGGAATCCTGGCACGGAGCTGTGCGCCCTCAGTTGCTGGGAGGTGAGTTGGGGGTCTCTGTTGGGAGGTGCCCCTGCCTTGGCCCTCCTGGTGAGGCCTCAGGGGTGCCCGGCAGGTTTGCTATGGCCTTTCTTTTTGGCCCAGACCTTGCCTTGGGCTCTCCTGAAGCTTCCTGCCCTCTGCCCGCCTGGGCCAGACGGACACATTCCTCCAGGTCTGGACATGCTGCCTCTCTGATGCCCTCAGGCCTGTCCTGAGGCCCCCAGACTACCAGTCTGGGTGGAGTGGCCGCTGACCGCAGGCTATTCTGATTCCCAGCCAGGGATGAATAAGGCCCCAGATCTGGGGTGGGGGGCAATTTCTCCCAAAAGAGGGCCCCAGGTGATGGGGTGGGGGCAGCCCAGGGGTGATGGCCTGGGGGCAGCCCTGTCCTCCCTGTCCCCAACCTGTGTTCTCCTAGGATAGCAGGGATAGGCTGTGTTGGTGGCATCCTTGTCCCCTGTTTACCCCACCCTCACCAAGGTGGCAGGCCCCAGGGCTCCAGCCTGACCAGCAGGCCTTCAGTCCCCCAGGCCAGCATGCCCACCTGCACCCTCACACAGCACGCGCATACTTGTACACACATAGATCCATGCTCACACATGTGCGTGCACACCCTACCCCAACCTTCACACGCACACTTAAGCTCACATGGCAACCCCAGCATGGTTAGCTGGATCTCTCCCTCCATGTCCAGCCCCACCCACACAGGGGGCAACCTTGGCCCTGGGCGGGGCAGAATTGTTTCTGGGACAGGGTGCCCCATGGCCTTGACTTGGCTCCAGGCCCTTCCCAGCTAGTGGAATTCACCTCTGGTCACCCTGTGCCTGTCCCTCTCCGTCCCCCAGAACATGCACTTGGTGATGTGGCCACACCAGAGGGGAAGACGTAAGACCAGGCCCCAGAAGCCAGCCCCCGCGGTCCCGGTCCTTCTGCCTCAGCGCCCTGGCTCCGTTGCTGGCTACGGGAAATCCCCATGAACTTTGTCGAAACTGCTCCTCTGGTAGACTTCCTGGTGTCCCCACCTTGTGGTGGTCCCCACCTCGGTCTCCCTGTGCCAGCTGCCCCTGGGTCAGGAGGCTGGAAGAACCGGTTCCTGGGGATGCTTCTGCTTCTCCAAGCTCAAGGGGATCGAAGCCCCCTCCAGCCCCTGGACGAGGTCGCCTGTTGCTAGGCTGCTGTGGATGAGCTGGAGGACGTGTGTGGGGTGACAGCCGTGCTCACACCTGCTCCCTGTTCTGGAGACCTCTCTCAGTGCAGGCAGCTGGGTGCAGAGGCTGCGCACACTCGACCCGGCACTTCTTAGGCACAGTCCCCGCGGGGGAGTCGGAGGTGTCGAGCAGGCTGGTCCTGGGTCCCCCTGCCCTCAGCAGAGAGAGCTGCTGCACCAGGAGCTCAGAGGGGAGTCTGGGGAGGGAGGAGCTCCAGTGACAGGGGGCAAGGGGTGTCCTGGAACACAGACCCTCTTTAAAGTGTTTAAATTTGAAAATAATTTCAAAGTTATGAAAAGTTGTAAAATAAAAGTTGCACAGAGACATCCTTATATCCTTGACCAAAGTTTGTGAGTTAATTTTGTCCTGTTTGACCATTCACCCCCAGCCCATATGCACACACATGTGTGTGCACACACACCCCACAGGTGTGCACATGTGCATGAGTAGGTATGCAGGATCATTTGTCCTGAACCACCTGAAGGTGAGTGACATGCATGGTGACATTTACCCCAGTCCTTTGGTGACTGTGGCCCAAGAACAGGGATGCCTCTCACACTGCCACAGCAGTGGGGTCCCTCGCCTGATCCTCCCTGTTCCTGCCCCGTGTGCAGAGCCGGTGGTGCCCCCTGCCAACTGGCTGTGCCCGCCGTAGGTTTGGGGCGGGTGCGGCTGCTGGACTCCTCTGTCATGGCTCCTTTGATCCAGGGCATTCCCCAGCTCCCGTTGTCTTTCACAACCCTGAGGAGTCCGAGGACTTCTGTGAGGGGCCGTGGGCAAAGCAGGGCTTGCCTAGTTGGTAAAGTTGCCCCCACTGCCTGGGCTCAGTCCTGCTCTGCCCCCCCCCCAGAGTGTCCAGCTCAGCAAGCCCCACACCGGTGGCCATGCCTCAGAGATGGCCTTGTGACAGCTCAGGGTCCTCCCTGGCCACCCTCAGTTACTCAAGGGACTCTGCAGTCTGCTGTATTCTGAGATGGCAGCAGAGACTGTGCCAGTGACGACCCAGTGGAGACTCAGCCACTGTGACGACCGGCGACACCGGGAGGAGTGGCGGGGGTGCCCATGCAGGTCACTCCAGGCCCCGAGTGACGCCCTTCCCAACTCCCAGCATGGCTGGCACAACCCAGGGAGTCCCTGGAGAAGTGTCCTGAGGAACACGGAGGGACAGTGTGTCCTTCAACACCAGCGCATGGCTTCCTTGCCCTCAGGTGCATGGAGGGTCCCAGGGACACCCCAAGTCCAGCAACAGGAGAAGCAGGTTACACTTGTCACACCTGCTGTTTTGTCGCAGTGGGGCCAGGACTGCTTGGTGACCTGTAACCACACATCCCTCTTCTGTCTCTTTTCTGACACGAAGAGGAACCGTGCAGCGTGGGAAAGGCTCTGAAAGAGGAAGCAGGAGTGGGCAGTCGGCACAGAATCGGGGTGGAAGGGACTCCACGGGTCCCTTGGATCCTGAGGCTTGATTCTTCCCAGGGAAGACTGTCACATACAGTCTGCCGTCCATCCGTCCATCTGTCTCTTCCTCCTTGCTTGCCTGAGTCCACCCATGCAGGCACCTGCCCAGTGGCCTACGGCCGCCAGACCTTCCCTCCAGCCTGGCAGCTGCTGGCCTGCCACTGTCGAGGGGGGCCGTCCTGCAGACCACCCCATGACTTTTATCCATTCCCAGTGCCTCGCTTCCCGCAGTGTGGCCATCTTGGAGGGAGAAACACGCCCGGTTGCCTCCCTTCACCCCACCCAGGCCTCTGGACGCTGCAGCGGCAACTGGGGGTGGACTGGCTGCTTTGTTGGGCAGGTGGTGCTGGGGGCCTTGGGGCTGTTTGGGACTCTGCCTGGAGGCCCTGCTTCCTTGATGCTGAGATAGCAGTCTGGCCACTTTTGAAGCCCTCCTCATGCTTCTAGAAGCCACTTCTTCTGAAGTGGCCTTGGCCTTGAGCTGGGAGATTTGATTACCAGTCGTGTCACAATTTTGTGGAAACAAGAGTCCGAGCTCATCGTGAGGTCTGGGGTGACGGCAGGTCCTGCCTCCTAACTCCTCGGCCTTATTTATAACATGCCTCAACTTTCCAGGCCATTGTGGTTTCTGGACGCGTGAGCCCCAGACATGCAGGGTGGCCCGCCCGGAGTAGCTGTCTTTCCTTGGTCCCTCTTGCACCCTCCAGAGCAGAGGAGATACCCGCCTGTCTGGCTGGCTCCTCCCTTCGAGGAGGGCAGGGGGCTGGGAGCACAGAGTGGGACTGGCTGGTCAGTGGGGTCTGAGGCTTCTGAGGGACAGGGCAGCGGCTGGGCCCCGCTGATAGTGTGCAGGAGGCTGGGGAGGGACCTCTGCCTCTGCCTCAGGGTCATGGCTGCTGTAGACGCTGTGGCCAGGGGAGAGCCGCAGGAGCCCAGCCAGGGCTCCAAGGGCCTGGCCTCTCCAGACCCGATGCAGAACTGGTACCAGAGGTGAGACGGGCACTGGGAGGGGTTGGTGGGGGCCTGGGCCTGGGACTCCCACAGGGCAGAGTGGCACAATGGCTCCTCTAAGCTCACAAGTGGGAAGAGACCCCACAGACAGACCTTCCAGAGGTCCCAGCAGTTCCCCTGTCAGGCGGAAACTGACAAGACACCCCACAGGGAGTCCCCACCTCTTCCTGCCTCCACAGGGGCCTCTGTCCTTCACCCCTGACCAAACCTGTTGACCTTGGACGCAGTGGATCCAGTCCCGGAGGTGACAAGCCCCCACACTGACAGCTGTGTGTCCTCACCCCTGGGAGTGGGGGAGCATGACGTGTCCTCCATGGGAGTCAGCATCATGGCTCCCTGCTCACATCTGGACCCATGGGCACGTGCTCCGGCCTGCTTTCACACGCTTGGCCTGCCCTAGGACACTCTGGGCCCAAGGAGCCCTAGCCGGCTTGACTCACTTCCCCCTTATTTCTGCCACTGCAGGGGTACCGGGGCCCTCTGATGGGTTCCCACTAGCAGGGTCGGGGACTCTGAGGGACTCATGGGTGAATCCCAACATACCCTTCCCCCTCCAGGATATTTGTCCATGCAGCCTGGCGCTGGGGAAGATCTAGTGCCTCAGCTTCGTCATGGACTGCACCCTGGCTGGTGGGGGGGCTGGAGCACAGGATACCTGAGGCCTGGGCAGAAGGGGCAGGCAGCTAAGCACCAACCGTCCGGTCTGCCTGGGTCCTCTGTAGCCTACCAGTCCCCTGCCTTCGAGGCACTGTCCTTTGAGCTGTGCTGGAGCGCCTGGTTTGCACTGGGTACCCACATGAGTTCCTGCGCTACTCCTACGACCCCTCCTTCCCCACCAGGTGAGGGAGCTTGGCCAGGTGGGAGGCTGTGGCCAGCCCTGGCACCCCCTCCCACAGTCCCCATGCCGTATCCCCAGGGGACTGGTGTTTGACGCACTCTATGGGAAGCTGCTGAAGGTGCATGGCTATGGGGACATGCTGGTGGCTGCCCATGGCTTCACCCTCCTCTCAGAGTAAGGGATGGGGTGGGGGTGGCTAGAGGTATAGAAGGGATGCCCAGGGCCTAGGCCACCCTCTGGGAGGTACCAGGAGGGAGCGTTGGCTGCACCCAGCCCCCTCCTCCCCAGGGCAGAGGTCTGAGCTTTGACCCCAGCAAGTTCATACAAAGGGATGACCGTCAGCGCTTCACGTCCACAACACGCTCTTCAACCTGCCCGGTGTGGGCTGCTGGGGGCGGGGGGCGTCCTTGCCAGCTCTGGCCTGAGGGCGGCTGCCTCACTCCCTGGGCCGGGACTGACTGGCTTCTCCGTCCCAGAAACCTATGGCTGCCTGGTGGACGATTTCGCTGGCTGCTCCCGATACACCAAATGCGTCCCCTGCCCTGCCCAGCCCTGGGGTGACCAGTAGGACACTGCTGCTGCCCAGCAGCCAAACCCCAAAGGGGGCCCCACAAGGGGCAGAGGCCCTTCTGAGGGCTTGGGGGACTCTGGGAGCTTAGGAGGAAGGCCCATGCAGGGGGCACCCAAGCCTGTGGCCTGTGCTGCCCCAGGGGAGCTCAGCACAGTGGTCCCTTCAGAACGGCTGGGACGTAAGCCCAGTGCAGGGCCACTCAGGGTCAGTGTTGGTGGTCCCCTCGGGCCTGCTTACCAGCCTCCCCTGTCCTCTCTTGGCCTGTCCCAGCTGTGACACTGGCTATCAGCATGGGAACCTCTTCATGTCCTTCCGAAGCCTCTCCCAGGATGTGACTGAAGCTATGAATAACGTCCACCAGTCGGTGAGTGGCCCAGCACCCCAGGACCTCGGCCTGCCTCCCTTGGCTTTCCTGGGCAACCTCGAGGCCCCCAGTCCCCGCCGCCTTTGCCCTCCTCCCACTGAGGACGGTGGCCTGGTCCCAGCCCCTCCTGCCCGGGGTGGAGACGGGCAGGCTGTATGGAAGCTCTGCGCCTCCTGCAGGGCTGTCTCAAAGAGAGGACCCTGGAGAAATACGTGGCGCAGGACGTGAGTGGCCACAGGTCTGGGGCTGCGGCTGCCCCCCTGCTTTTCCAGGGCGCAGGCTGCCCAACCCTGGTCATCTCCCTAGAGGTTACACGGAGCTCTGATCTGCTGCTGCTCTGGGTCCCCTGGCCTGGAGCCCACCTGCTCTGGGAGAGTGGGCTGTTCAGCTCCCAGGGGGGCTGAAACCCTAGAATGGTGTCCGTCTTTGCCAGGCGCGGATCCCTGTCCTGCTCGGCAAGATAAAGGAGGTTGGGAAGGTGTTTTTGGCCACCAACGGCAGCTACCAGTACACGGATGTGAGTGTCTGTCCCACTCCCGCTGGCACCTCAGGCCCGAGTCACGGCCTCGGAGGAATGAACAATCCCACCGTCTCTCACCCGTGGCCCCAGGAGGCCACAGTGGGGTGAGGGCAGAGGCAGGTGTAGCCCCCTGGCTCCGCCCAAGCTTGTGCCCTGACCACGGCCTGCCCCTGCCAGGCCATCACGACTTACCTGTTTGCTGCTGGTGAGGTGAGTATCCTGGGCTGGGCTGGGGGGGCTGGGCGAGGGAGGAGGGGCCAGGCCTCCCCTCTGTCCAGCCTCCTCCGAGTAGGGGCAGACAAGTGAGTGGTCATCTCCATGGCTGGCCTTGCTGGAGCTTCCTGGTGGGTGAGGGCAGGATTACTCTCAGCTTCCTGGGGGTCATAAAGAGGCAGTCAGGTGTTTGGGGAGGTCTTGGGGGGGTAGGGCAAGTGAGGTGAGAGTAAGGAGGGCCAGGGGAGGGGAACCAGTTCAAACCCTGGACACAGGTGTGGCTGGGCCTTGCTGTGTATGTGTCTCTGTGTGTGACATGTCCCTGGGCCTCTCTTTTTGCTCTGTGAGGAGCCCTGGAGGCTAATCTAAGACCCCCACAATGCCCAATGCCCACCTCCAAGGGCACCTGTTGGGCCCCCTCCTGAAGCCCAGCTTGGTTGGGGGTGCTGAGTAAGGGGAGATCTCCTGGTTCCTGGGCCCACAGATGTCTCATCTTGCCTGAGGCTGCCACGGGGGATTGGCAGGGTCCAGTTTCCCAGGCTGTGTGTGTCCCCTGTGTCTGCACATGCCTTGCCCCCTGCCCTGCCCCACAGGCTGAGGACACAGCCAGGCCCTGGAGGTCCTGCTTCGACCAGATTGTGGTGGACACACAGAAGCCCTGCTTCTTTGCAGAGGGGATGGTCCTGAGACAGGTCAACACGATAATGGCAGGTGCTGAGGTCCTGTCTACCTTGACAGGTGGTTGGAGGGGAGACTGCCCACTCTTAGATGTGACCTGTATGTGTCCACTGCCCTCTGCTACCCTGTCTGTCCCTGAAGGCACGGAAGTACTTCAGGGCCCCACAGTATCCTTCCTCCCTCGACCTTGCCCCCGAGGCTGCTCCTGCCAGCTCTGCCCAGTCCTCTTGACCGGCACAGGGGCTGTGGTTCCTTGGCTCAGGCCCACCTCTGCCCTCTAGGACTCGGGGAAGCTCCATGTGGGCACTTACACTGGGCCCCCCCAGCACTGTGCTGCCCACTCTGGAGGTACAGCTCTCGCGGTGCCCATGTCCCGCAGGCACACCTTGGCCAGGGTCCATCTCCCAAGCTGCCTCAGCAGGGAAGGAGTTGTGTCCTCCCTCTGTGGGGCAGGCTCGTGAGACGTGGTGTGCGAGCTACTTGGGGTGCGGGGGAAGGACATCCTGTACATTGGGGACCACATCTCTGGGGACATCATCAAATCCAAGAAGCAGCAGGGCTGGCGGACTTGCCTGGTGGTTCCTGAGCTGTCCCGAGAGCTGGGCATCTGGGCCCGAGAGAAGGGTGAGCCACAGAGACCAGTACCAGCAGAGGGTGCTGGTCATCCACGCTGCCCAACCTCCTTCCCCCTTTTCCTCTGGGGGGTTGGTGGCGACCAGGAATCTTGTCCACTCTGTGGTTTTTGAAGGTGAATCTATTTAAAAACAAGGAAACAGACCAGAGAGGTAAAGCCGGTTGCTCAAGGTCACCCAGGTGCTGGGCGCCAAGCTGAGACTCATTCCTCATCTTCTTGCTCCAGATCCGTGAGGCTTTTCCAGGGCTGGGACTTCCTTCCTCACATGGCCCTCCCTCTGCCCGAGGCCTTTGGGTTTAGAAGGTACAGGCTTTCCCACCCAGGAAGTACTTGAAGTCACCCTGGGGCAGGGGTGCTGTGAGCAAGACAATGTTTGTTCTGTTGTTCTGAGCGTTGCTGGGTTTGAGTCATTGCCCTGTGACTTCATGAAGTTCACCTGACTCCCTGGATGTCTTGATCACCTGTCCTACGGAGCCTGTGTCATCCCTATTTTGCTCTGGGCAAAGTCTTAATCTGACTTAAGGGGTCATGATATTACAGGTGGGGGAGCAGAGACCCCTGGCTGGGGCCTGGCAGACCCCGCTGTCACTCACCCTATTGCTCCCTGTTTGGTTTTCAGAGAGGTCAGAGCGGCTGAAGAGCCTGGACACACACCTGCTGATCTGTACCAATAAGAGCTCTGGCCTCTCTGGGGGTGCGGGAGGCTGGGAGGAGAGGGGTGGAGAGCTAGGGTCCCATGCCCAGGCCTGGCAGTGAAGTGAGCCAAGGGCTCTGGAAAACCAACTGTGTTTCAGGCTGGGCTTCCCTAGTAGACTGGACTATGGGACCTGCTGACCCCTTGAGATACTCATCTTCTGAGACCTCTAGGCCTTTCCCAACCCACCCAGCATGGACTCACAAATGTGCACACCCCATCCCTGCACCCCCACTGGATGCCTGTGGGTATCCTTGCCCCTCCACAGCAGCCAGGGAGGTATGTTCCCCTCCTCCACGGGTCACATGGCCATCTCTGTACCAGGCATATGTATGGAAGCATCTGTGGGCTGCAAAACATCAACTCCATCAAGAAGGAGATTCAAGTAAGCGCTGGGTGGTGAGTGAGGGGGACCAGCCCAGTAGGGGAGGAGTCCCAGGAGCCCAATTGTCTGAGTCTCCTCAACCTTGTCCAGTGCCATCTGGCCTTGCTGTCCAGCGCGTCCCCTGCTGGCCAATACTGAAACGGCAGTGGCGTGCTCTTGAGGAGGGCTCAGTCCACAGGCTTGTTTCTGCCCTCTGTCCTGCCGTTTTCTCAGCCCCTTCTCTAGGAGGGCCTGCCTGCTGGGCTGGGTCTTCATGTGGCCACCTCCCCAGTTATGATCCAAGTCTGCTGTTGGCCAGAGATGGGGTGTGAGAAAACGTGATTTAGTACCAGTGAGCTGATGGGTCCTGGGAAGAGAAGGGAGGACATTGCCATGGCTTCATTGACTTACTCGTCACTAGAGCTGGGCGGTCCTCACAGCTCAGGCAAAGGAGTCAAGCGGCCCGGCAATCCCAGGCCCAGCTGGGACCAACAATGAGGGGTTTTGCAGGCACGAGACACACGAAGCATAGCCGTCTGCTCACCCCACAGTCTTAGGAGGTGGGCTGGCAGGGACTGTCATCCTTCCTTCACAGATGAGGAATCAGGGCACAGAGAGGGGGAGATAGGTGACCTTGGGGCCTGGGAGGCAATGTCCCAGCTAGTTCTCCAGGCCCCGAAAGCGGGGCCCAGTTGTGCAGTGGGGGGCTGCTGGGGGGCCCTGGGGCTGGACAGGGGGGCCTGCCCAAGTTCTTATTGTCTGGCTGTGGGTTCAGTCCTGGGTGACCACTTCCCGGGACCAGGCAGGTCACTGAGAGGGAAGCCTAGAGTGAGGCCAGTCGCAAAGTACGGAGCTCCCCATTCCAAAAATGTGCTGTCTGTGGGATTACAGCCTTGAGCTCTTTCTCTGCAGGTGGACACAGGCCTGGGTCCTCAAGGAGGAGAGGGTGAGAGAGGGCCTGGTCTGAGCAGGGTGGGTGCTTGCCCTGAGGGTGGGCACCCAGTGCCATGGGGGTGCAGGTCAAGGTGGGCTGGGGTCTTCATTCATGTGCTGCCTCTGGCCAGAGGTTCACCTGGGAGCTGGACCTGTGCTAGGGCACCATGGGCAGCCTGTTCCGCTCTGGCTTCCGCCCAACCCTCTTCTCCAGCCAGCTGATGCGCTACGCGGACCTCTACACTGCTACGTGCCTCAATGTCCTGCGGTTCCCACTCAACTTGCTGTTTAGGGCCGTCCTGGAACTGGTAGGTCTCTGCCGAATCTTCCCGGTCCTCCTGGGAAGAACCCATTGGTCCCCAGCCCTGCCATGAATGTGCAAGTTTCCCCAGACTCAGTCCCCATCTTCCAGACATAAGGGGTTCAAAACCTTGCAGATATCTGTTTGCAACTAAAAAAGCAAAAAACAAAACAAAACACAAGATTTAAGTTTGCCTAGAAGTTGACTCTGCTGGGGACACTCCTCCTCAGGCCCAACCTCAACCCCTGCTTTAAATGGAGACCCACCTCCTCACCAGTCCCTTGGTAGTAATGCGGCCAGTCACAGGGAGGAAGATCTGCTTCCACCTCCGGAAGCACAGGGTGGCCTCCAAGGAGCAGGCAGCAGGTGGTACAGTAGAGGCTGCAACTCCCCCGACCACCCCCAGACCAAGCATGCCCCTGGGCTAAACTCCGGGTGGCTAGCGGCAGCGGGCAGGAGCTGAGCAGTGAGGGGCTTCCCCGGAGAGCACACATGTCAGTCTCCCAACCAGCCATCATGCTTCCCTCTTCTGAGATGCAGAGTCTGTGGCTAAGGATCTGGACTGCAGAGTGGTCTTCAGGATTTCCTATCCCTTCTTTCCCCAGTTGCCTTCCAGATGTTTAAGAGGGGACCATTTACTGGCAATTGGCTATATTTCCTGCCCTGGGCTGGGTACTCTTCAAAGATTCTGCTCAATATATCCCAGCAGCTGGGTGCAGTGGAGCACACCTGTAATCCCAGCGGCCCGGGAGTCTGAGACAGGAGGATCATGAGTTCAAAGCCAGCCTCAGCAAAAGGGAGGCGCTAAGCAACTATGAGACCCTATCTCTAAATACAATACAAAATAGGGCTGGGGATGTGGCTCTGTGGCTGAGTTCCTCTGAGTTCAATCCATAGCACCTCCTGCCCCCAAATCCCGGCAAAGAGAGTCTTATCATCCTCATTATACCACTGGTGAAATCAAAGAGCAGAAGATCTACAACACTTGCTATCACCCAGAGAGACCACAGGGCTTGGATTTGAACCCAGGGCTGTCCAACTCTTCTGTCCCCTGCACTGGGCTGTGTCTCCCGGAAGGGCTGGGCTGGAGGGCTCCCACTGGCAACACAGGGTTGGGGGTTCCCAGGTGTAACCACCTGTGCTGTTAGCATAAGTAGAGACCAGAGAGAAGAAAGGGCACCCCAAGTGGCCAGGTGAGTCATCTAAAGAACTCTGACCTTGATGGTGCTGGCTTGAAATAGTCAGGTTCAGTGGTCAGAACCCTCCTCCCCCTGCTGACCCTCCTGGGCTCCTTCTGCAGCTGTGGGCTGGGGACTCTGCATACCTGAGGAATCCTGGGCACCTTCCCACCAAGGGAGTTGCTCCATCTCCACCTGTGTTTGTCCCTACAGATGCCTCATAAGACCATCATGGAGCAAGAACAGGCCAGTCTGGACCCGGCCTCCTGCTTGCTCTCCTGTAGGCAGAGGGTGAGTGGCCGGGAGTGGTGGGGGGAGCTGCCTTGCTGGGCTGAGGACCTCAGAGGCCTGGGGCTACCAAGGGCTGGAGCATTGAGAAATCTACAGGGGTTTTTTTTTGGTTTTCAACTGGAGTCATTCTTGAATACTTGTGTAGAAATACATATTATTATAAATGGATTTTCTTTTCATTTCATTTATTATAGTTAGAGCATTAAATTGATAATTTGAAATTGTGGAGATAATTATTTATGAATTTCAATTTAGACTAGAAAAGGGGGAAATTTAAATATTGACTTTCAAAATGGGGCATCAGGACGACAGGCCACAGGTTCTGCCCAACAGGGCCGAGCTGCTATTGGTGCCCTGCACCTCTGCAGACAGCTGCTGGCCCATCCCCCCACAAACCTTTCCCTCAGGTGCTCCAGGCGGCCTTTGGGGACAGGGAGGACCCGTATTTCAGATCATTTGATGTATGGGCCGAGACAACCGCTATCATGAGGGGCAGTCGTGGTCCCGAACCCTGTGCAGGGTCCTTGCTGCCAGCCCAGCTGTCCAGCTTGATTTTTAAGATGTCACCTTTAAGCTGGGCGGTACCCGGCTTAAAGGTGACATCTTAAAAAATGTGTTCTCTCACCCGCGTGTTTCGATCGCCCCCTGCTGGCCAGAAGGCAGAGAGGCATGGAGAGAGGTCTGGGGAGCGGTATCCTGCCCGGCCCAAGCCCAGCCCAGCGCATGCGCTCTGTAATCAGGGTGTCAAAAGCTCTCCAGACCCGCTCCCGGCTGCCAGTCCCGAGCTCTCGGGCGGTGGGAGCGCGGGCTGCGGTCCCTCCGGCCCCTTAGCCCTGGCTGGGGCCACTGGGCGGAAAGGTCCACGGCCGCTCTCTTCCTCCTGCCAGGCTGCAGGCCAAGAGGGCGCCGCGGACCGGCGGGCGGCGACGGCGACCCCGTCCTGGACTAGGGCTTGAGCTGCTGTCCAGATAGCCGGGAGTCACAGCGGGAGGGGCAGTTGGTCGAAGCCTCCCCACGGGCAGTTTTAGACCGTGGAGACCTGTCTGGCTCAGCCCTGAGCTGCGGGGCCCGGCCAGCGTCTTTATTTCTTTTTAAAAATACTGTCTCTATCACTTCGATTGTCACATAATGAGAATAAAACCGGACTGGCTGAAGATTGCCTCCGTGACCTTCCCCCAGCCCCGGTCCAGACGGCCAGTTCGCGGTGCCTGCGTCTGGAAACGCGGAGGAGCCCTGACTGCTTCACTGCTCTGTGCCCTTCACTGGTTCACTTCGCTCCTACTGTGGCTCTGTCCCGGGTGCTGTGGGCTGCGTCCCCTGAGGCTCAGCATGGACCTCTGTTGGGAACGGCAGGGCGCACCTCGAGGCGGGGGCGGAGGGGTGCGTCTCGTGCTGCTGTTCCCTAGTCTCTCTTGCTGCGGTCGGCAGCAGCGGGTGCGCTGGCATGTCTGAGGAGAGCAGGCCAGCGCCGGGTGTCCCCTCTGAGCAGGTCCTGTGCATTAAGAGGGGTGCAGGTCTGGCGGGCCAAAGTTCTGTGGCCAGGACCAGACGGCTCTGGCCTTGTGTCTTCAAACACTAGATCCTCTTGGGGGGCTGGAGGAGGGCATTTGAGCAGGAACATTGCACAGCTCCCAGTTCAGGTCTTTGCTGAAGTGTCGTCCAGGAGCCAATACTACGAAAATCCACCCTTAGAATTCCTGCCCTGAGTAGAGGGAATACAGAAGAGGACTGAGGGATAGTCAGCAGATGAGACTTGGGGGACAGGGAGGGAGGGGGAGAGAGAAGGGAAGAGAAGGAATAAGGAGGAGGAGGGGGAGAGGAGAGGAGGAGAAAGAAGGAGAACTGAGGGAGGAGGCTAGAGGAGGGGAGGGTCCCTGCCTCTCTTGGGCTATACCTGCTCTCCCCTGGCCCAGTAACCTCTTTCTCAGGACTTGACTGTTTACATTTGTGAATTTGAGTCCCCACTAGACTCCTGGGGTCAGGCCCTTCTGGCTCACCACTTATCACTGGCACCCATAGGGTGCTGCACATTTTCTTGAATGAAGAAGTACCTAGTTCACCACTAGGAGTCTGCTTGGAGAACTGTGGGAAGGGGTGGGGGAAGTTCAAGGAGCTCTGGCTTAGAATTCTCAGCTCCTGGGAACCTGTCTGGGACAAGAGAGGGCGGGAGAGTGGGACAGGCACTTCCATGTGGGGCCACTCATTTAATGGAGGTTTTCTTTATGAAATCTGATGTCACATCTATATCCCGTTTTTCTATCCCTTAGTTAATAAGGTGTGTGTGGCTTCCCCATTTCTGGAAGGATTTTTAACAGGCCACCTGATACACAATTCCAAGCTATATTTTAAGATGACTGGGGACATGTGACCAAGTGTTGGCCCCTCCATTGCAGCAGAAATGATGTGTCTGGCTTCCAAGTTGTGGCCTTAGGAGAGGTGCATCTTCCCCCTCCTTTCTCCCCACTCCATGCCTGAGAGTGGAGCTGGTAGGCAGCCACTTCTGGCCATATGGACTGGTTGCATCCTAGGGAGGGCAGAGCCACAGGACATATGACCCAGCCTGGCACTGCAGCCCTGACTGCATCACTCCTGCTGCTGCTGGGAGGTGCATTTCCACAGGGGGCCGGCTTCAGCAGCCGAACCAGTGTACAATTCCAACCTTAAGTTCCCAGGAGTCTGGGAGTGACTCTGGGTCATGATCCCATGGTAGGAGGTGACCGGGCCACTGCATGACTCCTGCTTGGCCAAAGGGGAGTAGTGACGGTCTCTCAGATCTCCATGCCCCATTGCCCATTCTCACGTCCTTACCCAGGAGCTAAAAGCTCTGGACTTAGCAGCCTCAAGTTTGAAGTCATCACCCTGGCGTTCAGTGTCTGGCTAGTTTCCCTCTCTGTCACCAAGGTGTTGAGAGAACGTGGAGACATCCGTGGAGTGTGTAAGGTGTGTGTATGTGTGGTCTTTAGTCAGGAGTTTTCATTGTCACCTAATGAAAAATTAGACTAAATGGAATGGTCTTAAGAAAAAAGGGGATTTATTGGCTTGTGTAAAAGAAAAATGCAGGGTCCCCAGTTCCAGGAACAGTCAGCCAATTTATGTCATTGACAAGCTCGCCGTTGACCCTGTGTGGAAGCTAGTTATTTTCCGGCAGGTTTTGTCCCGTCATGTGGCCGTCAGATGGCTAATCCCAATTTAAGGCTATCATCTTGTCGGCACCTCTACCAAGGATCCTTTCCACCGAATGCCAGGGACATGAGGCCTCACGGGTTCTCTCTAGACCTGCCGACCTCCAGTCCATGCTCCTGGCTGGGGAGATGTGGGCTCTGGCTGTCCAGGCTCGGTCACATGCCCCCCGTGACCACAGCCCCTTCCTCTGAAAATGCCTGGCCTGTGTGGGAGATGGTCCTGAGGGAGCCAGTGCTCTCATGAGGAGCAGCTTAGGGCGGGTAGACTCAGTGCCCGCCGTGCAGGGTGCTAACAGGAGGGCTGCCGCACACCTCCTCGTGTCTTCGTGGTCACTCTGAATGGCAGTGCTGCCCATAACCATCCTGATCATCACCTTTTAGAATTCACTTTACACTCATCTCTTCTAAACTACCACCCTAGACAACACGAGACTGGCACTCAGCACAGGCACACATTCCCATGAGCCACTCCCCATGACCCTCCCCAATGAGCAGCCGAGAGCAAGGTGCCGTCCCCTGCGGCTGCTGAGGCACCAGCCATCTCCACATCCTTTGGTAGAAGACGACCCTGTCTGGTCAGGCTGTTCAGTCTCCAACCTGTCACGTTGGGATCTGGACCCTATTAGATGCCAACAGTTCCACCTACACTGCCAGTGAGCACCAGGGAGGGGTAAGGGACATCTTGCGAGGAGCTGGCAGTGAAGAGGGAGCCGCTTTTCTGAAATGAGCTTTAATAGCAAGACTGTGCTTCTGAGGAGACGCGAAACCAGCAGGCAGGCAGCGGGTCCCTGGCAGCGAGGACAACCCTTCTAGGAGCCACACATGAAGAATGGCACCAGCAAGCAGGCTCCTCAGACTCCGAGAGCCCAGAGGCTTGGGGCATTCCACTCCTCTGGGCCCTGTGCAGGTCTGTGTGCCTGGACACCCGCTGAGCGTTCCTGGCCTCACAGGCACAGCCACATGTCGTGAGGTCAGCCAGGCCAGGCCGCGGGGTTCCTGAACCTCAGTGGTGGTGACGATCCACCTCTCACTGAAAGCCAGTCTGATGGCATGGGGTTTCACGGCCCAGTTTACACACCTGACCTCAGAGAGAGGTCTGCTTCCCTCCAATGAAGAAACCCAGTCCTGCTGAGGCTGACGGTCAGCCCCTTGGTCAGGGCAGGTTCTCCAGGGCAGCAAATGTCCACCTCCCCCCCCAGGCCAGCTGAGTGGGTGTTCCCCAGATCACCTCCAGTCTTCCTCCCAAGCCTCCATCTGTTTTCTACAATAAATAAGATTAATCAATAAGCAAGAACAAACAATTTCATTTTTTTGTTAGAGATAATTAAATATCAAGAAAGCTAAAATTTAAAACGCGCCGATAGGTTTTTCTATACATTATATTTACATAATGACTCTGATTCTACTTTCCCCAGGTCAGTTGCCCAGGGGAAGAAAAAGCGAATTGTACAGTCTCTCTGGAATTGTACACTGCCTCCTCCAGCCAGCTGTCCACGGCAGAGCAAAAGCTGAGTGCAGAAATAAGTGCCCCCCACCCCACCGTTTTCACCTGAAGCATCTGAAGAACAAATGCAAAATTAGGTTTGGGTATAAAAAGCTAGATGTCCACTCACCCAGGACTGTGCTTTCTTTGAGGAGACCTGGCACAGAAAGGACAAGAACTGCCCTCAGCCGCAGGAACAGGTGGGGAAGTGGAGGCTCACTCACAGAGGCCTCTCAGGGTCTCTAAGCACAGGTACAGCGTCCTGTGTTAAATTCATCTGCAGCATCAGGGGACCCGGCTGTCCAGCCTGGCCAGCAAGCTTCAAAGCTCAGTTTCCACCTGCAAGAACTTGCCCTCCCTGCTAAGGTGGACGCCAAAGGGCAAGTCCACCACACTGTGGCATTGACCTTTGAGATAAAAGTAACTACAAGGGTTAAAGTAGACTGGTAAAGTGCAAACTTTTTCCACACTTGTATTCTTCAGTCTGGCTGGGCACAAATCACGAGCCACTCAAGCAGGTACAAACTTTATTTCCGAACTCCCCCAAACGCCACCTACGCGGTCCTTCCAGCTACACCACACACCGACCAGAACTCCCTCCACTGGAACCTCACCAACCAACGTGAACTCCCTAGAAATCCTCCCGAGAACTCCAAAGTAGCGGGTGCCCGAGGCAGACAGCAGGGGTCTATATACAATTGAATACACAGCCTGTTTCAATCCAGCACCATCTTAATGGCTCGCCTCTCAACCATTACTTCTGGCAAAATGCCAGGGGCCATTCCGACTCGGCTGTGGCTCTCAACATCTCCCCCCTTCTGTTTAATTAAACAACAAGCATGTGGCTTAGGGACCATGCCTGTCTTAGGTTGTCCAATACTACATATGGTCCTTACCCATCATCGGATGAGCTGACCTCAAGGTGTCAGCCTCCTGTCTTAGGTTGGTACCATTGCAATTGGATCTTACCCATCATTGACTACTGGTCCAGCATACAGCCATACTTGTGGATAGGCCTTTGCACCAGTGGAGGGGGGGCGAGGTTCTTTGCCTCACCTCTGTTGGCCCCCAAATTTGGCCTTTGCACCAGTAGGGGGGTGAGGTTCTTTGCCTCACCTCTGTTGGCCCCCAAATTTGGCCTTTGCACCAGTAGGGGGGTGAGGTTCTTTGCCTTACCTCTGTTGGCCCCCAAATTTGGCCTTTGCACCAGTAGGGGGGTGAGGTTCTTTGCCTCACCTCTGTTGGCCCCCAAATTTGGTCTTTGCACCAGCAAAAGGGAGGAGGATGCACA